AAAAAAAAAAAAAAGAAAGAAATGGCAGAAACCAGCTAAAGTCACTAGAGCATGAACTGATAGCGGTGCACTGAATCAGGGACAGCATCTGAAACATGACAGCTGAGATATGACTTTTTAAAACACAAAGAGATGTCTGAATTCAGTCAACTCATTATTTATCTGAACTAAGAGTACTGAATAACCTTTGGCTCAATAATCAATAAAATGAATAATAAAAAAAGACATCTCACAAATGCTTGATAATAATTAGTGTCATTACTGCCATTTATAGGGTGCAAAACAAAAATATAGGCAGTTGATCAGACTACAAGCTGCTTCATCTGTTATTAATAATTTAATTGGACTGATTATAGTTTAATTTTCAATAGTTTGACATGGGAAGAGTTAACTAATGTCTAACACAGATTAAGGTCTGAAATGGGGGCCTGTTGAAGCAGGTCTGGATTATTCTAGAATTTCAGTCTTCACGGTGTGCAATGTGATACTGTGCTATTAAAATATTTCAAAACTGTATTTACTGGTGTGACAATCCTGTCATGGTTAAGAACAAAGGTTATGTGACTTAAAGGTTAAATACATTTTCCAAAGCAATCTGATACATTCATTGTATATCATTTATTAATGTCAATATGTAAATAATCTAATTTATTTTAATTATTTAATTATTGATACCTATTATTTAATTATATTTTATTCAACATTAGTACAATATCTCTTTCAAATCATCATAATGTAAAATTACTACAGTCTCTGACGAAAACATTTTATTTCAAAATAAAAATATGTATTAAATAGTATTGTGCAGGTGTAGCACACTTTTTACAGAAAACTAAAGGTGTTATTAAACACCAGTCTCACAATACACAGTGTGAATGAAAGAGCCTGAGGGAGAGAGAAAGAGAGAGAGAACGAGAATATAAGAAAGACAAGGAGGTAGGCACAGTCACATTTATAATCTTATAAAACATTCCATATATGATATTCTATTCCAAAAATAATTGAGTGGCAAAAACTATATCCAGCAATCTGGCTACAGTTGCTAAACAGAATTAAAAAGCACTAATAAAAGGAAAGCTTGCCATCTCCTCTGTTTTTTGGAGAAGAGTGTTTGGTGTTGTTCTCTGGACATCTCATGAGGAAGCAACATAATCCTCAACTCCTTTGTCAGGTGGTTTGTAATGAGCCTGTAATGAGTTCATGTAAAATGCAGCAGGGAGATCATCTATCTCACCCAGAGCAAGGGTCCCCACAGCACTGAACTGATACAGAGGCCCTATATCCCCCTCCCAACATAGGAGACAGAGAAAGACATCTATCATAAAATATAAGGGGTGTTAATGACATGGCTGCTCTTGGCTGTATTTTCTGAAAGAATCAAGCTTGCATATCAAGTTCATAAATGGCGTTGTTAGTACTAGACTTTTAATAAATTGACAATTCTCCTTACTAACTGAAAATACTATTTTAGAATGGGTAAATATGGTATCATAAGTTTGTATAAAGAGTTTAAGTGGGGACCTAGTTTTGATAACCTTAGTTTCTGCCTGTAACTTTCATATGTCATATTTATGTCACTGTCCTTGTTACAGTCTCAAACTAACAGATATTAATTACTAGTGTTATCTAGAATACGACTAATAAAATAATATATGTAGTCCAACTGATGACACAGACCACATGTCCAGTAATACTAATATTTTCCACACTCTCGTGAAATCATCTTTAACTTACTCCTAAAAAACCACAAGCCAGTATAGATTTCTGTAGAAGCCGACAACAGTGAACCCTATCCGGTCAGCCGAACCAGTCCAAACGGGTGGAAGTCCGCGGAATTTCAAAACATTGGACGATTTTCCGGGTGATAAGAAAGAGAAAAACATGCTACTTAAACCACCTATTGTTTTGCGCAGTACAACGGCTTATACAGTACAAATACATTTAATTTAACGTTACCATACACATATACGATTCACCACTCTGAAATACTCCAGTGCACGGAATACTCATGGACTTACCGGTTAACGTTAGCTCACAAATAATCTGTTGATCTCCAGTTGATTGAATATTGATGCCGCAGGTGCTGTGTGATTGTTGCCAGACGATTATAAATGAATATAACTTCAGAAAAAAATACAGGCAAAAATAAAATTGTCGCCGTTAAACGCGATCTCCTTCACTTATGTAGCTTTTAAACATTTCACACGAAATTTTTTAGGGATTGTTAGTTGCTAACCACTGACATGTTCATGATTTCAAGAGTGTCTAAGCAACGGACGCAACTCTGCATCACTGTTTACTTTTCACCCGCGTTGTTTTCCAAACATTACGGTATTCTAATATCTTCCGGGTTGTTCCTTAGTCGGGATCAGGATTTACATGAGTTCAGAAACCCGATCGATTCTTAACATTTTAAATAGTCTTAACGAGGAATGTATTGGTTATTTTTTATTAATACTTTATTGTCCAAATTACACTTTTAGTAATATTTAGTCAAAGACTACTGCTTATTTTAAATGCTAAATATATTTGAGTTAACCTATGTTTTAATGACTAAAATCATGACTGCAAACAAAAAACAGGCTTTCGTATCGTTCGAAA